CTCCTCCTCAATCTGAAGATATTGTGCTTGATAAAAACTGAAAAATGCCAGATCTGGTTGGATGGTGACCAGATATTTCTACACTCATGTCCAGTCTCACCCTCTCATGAAAACCATGACAGCTTTGCACTATGTTTTCTGTTAGGCAAGCCTCTTCATTTTAGAACAATTTCAGCTGTCAAAAACCTTGTTGAATTTTTAGAAAGACACTATTTCATCCTTGTTAATTTCATATCCAGTCAAGCAGGCAGGATCTGACTGTTTGAATCAATTGGAAAAACTGATTTTTGTTAAATTATGCCAGTTTTGAAATTCCAAAACATGGCCTTCTTAGAATGGAGTTTGGAGACTCATTTTTGATCCTAGGATGTTGTCCTTTTTTAACCAAGCACCCAGATGCTAGGCTAACTGTTTGCAAGCTTTGATTTCCAAAATTCCTTGAGGTTTCTGCTGTCAATATCTTTCAAGCAAAAAAAAAATGATATTCCAACCTCAAATCTTGTGACCTCCAGCCATAAGTCCAAATTAGAATTTATCTGCTTTGGAAAGCGTCCTGCAGGACGTGGGGTCCCTTTGGGGCCCTCCAATTTAGAGGCTTATTTAAGCTTGGTTAATTGACTCCCAAAAATTGGAGAGTTGACTCCCAAACCCCAGGAAGGTCCTGAAGGCGGTCCTGAGACAGTCCTCAGGATGTCTTCCTTCCTATTCCCCCCCCCCTACTTTTTGGGAGTCAATCCTTCAAAAACCACATCAGGTTTTGGATTTGGGGGTCCAAAATATGTTTTTAAAAAAACCTGATTTGTTTGGAAGCTGATCCTCCAAAACTAGATGGGGCTTGGGGGGTCAGTGGCTTAAACAGAGCCCCTGACAGCCGGGAGGATTCCTCCCAGTCACAGAGAGTACACTCTCAACATCTGGACTACTATGTTTTCTGGGATCAAACTCTTCTTCTTAACATCATCTTGTTGGAATTGAACAATCAATCATGCCACTAATCAAATTTATCAAATTATTCTTTGAGAGGCTGTTGAATTAAGCACTGTTTACCATTAGTACCTAGCAATGTCCGTCTAGCTTAATATCTATCAATGAGGAATGAACCCCAGAATATCTATCACCTGATCCAAGTGATCCTCTTCATTATTATTTAAAGGGAAGACAAAATTAGGAATTGCCTTAATCATTTCCATACAATGCTCTCAACTGAATTTTCAATCCTCCACAATGAATCTCCAGACTAGCATGACTTCTCATGCTAAGGATATTCATCTTCCCTTTTTTCCAAATATTTATTTGAAACTTGCCTCTCCTTGTTGAGAGAAAAGATATCGTCTGACTGATGAAGTATCAGGAATCACTCTAGAGATGTCGCTCGACACCCGGGTACCTGCCTCAAAAATCCAATATTTTTGACACCCACACCCGCACCTGCACCTGCTAGGGCCGCCAGGGTGGGTACCCGGGTACCTGCGCCGGGTACCTGTGGGTACCTGGCACATTTTTGCAGGCAAATATACCCAGAAATCTCACCCTTGAATTTCTGCATGACTTGGTAAATATAAGATTGATATTCACTAGATATATGAGTAAGAATAAAATAAAAATGAAGAAATAAAGAAAAGCAAATTATTCTATCACCACTTTGAATTTTATCTTCTCTCTGATCTATCTTTAGCTTTACCCTTTTACTTGGCCTCATTTGCCTTATTCAATTTCCATTGATGAAGACTGTACACCATCTTTATGACTGGAGGAATTCCTCCAGTCATCAAGACTGTACACCATCTCAAAGGCCGGAGGGAACCCTCCGGCCTCAACAAAGCAACCAGATTAGTTCAGCAACACATGCAAGACACCAGCTGGTGTCCTACATGGGTTGCTGACACCTTTGTGCAGCCCAACACACCCAAAAAAGGGAGTGTTGGACCACCAATGATAAATTAAATTCTTCAGGGGAAGCATTCCCAGGGCGGGTGTAAGGCGGGTACCCGGGTACCTGCCTTTTTTTACCGCAAATGTTGACACCCGCACCCGCACCCGCACCTGTTTTTACCACAAATGTTGACACCCGCACCCACACCCGGTACCTGTTTCCGGGTACCTGCTTTGGAAAACAGGTACCTGCAAATGGGTACTGGGTACCTGCTGACATCTCTAAATCACTCTAATCAGCCACCCAGGCCCAAAACTGGACTCCCATAATATCAGATCTGAAACTGCCCCTAAATAGGAGAAGAATTGGAGCAATGATTCAAGGGATGATGGTTCTCTAGTATTATGACCTGTCTGGAACCCCCCAATTCAAGATAGAGAAAAATAGACAGCCCAGATGAGAGGTTCAGAAGGGCTATATATGGTATTACCAAGCATTGGTTAAGGATTGCTGAATCACACAAATATTGGGCTTTGAAGATATGTTGAATTAAAACAGACTGGATTAATACAGCCAAGTAGCATGTTCTTAGTTGTTTTCTGAGTATCTTCTGAGTCAAATATGAACCTTAATAAGCTCAACTCAACTGTTCTTGTCTCTACGGTAATATGTTCTCCTTTTCCTGGCTTATTGTGTGATATGAAAAAATTGGTTATCCAAGTCTATGCTTTATTTTTATACTCTGCTAGTGCGACCATTTATCTATAGGCCAATTTTACAATCAATTTGAAACACTTTGCTGTTATCATGCTCAATCCAAAAGAAGTAACCAACTCTGTGACCTTCTGATTATTGTTCATTGAATCTTGTAAAAACAATGAAACAATGTGATGTGATGCGATAAATGGCCATGTATTGGTATCACATCAAAAAATCAATTCATTGCATCGGCATTGTATCAGAAAGCAATGCAAACCGATGCCACCAAATTATAGTGCATCGCTTTGCCAATGTGATACTGATGCACTGTATAGAAGAATCTGATGCGGGGCCCCGCATTGCTCTCCTCGATGCAATGTGATACAGGCCCAATACAATGTGATACCTATGCATGCATCACATCAGTTACACTGTTGCTTGTAATAAAAGAACTTTGAATCAGAAAATGGAATTGATAAGGAACAGTGATCCACCATTACCTGGTGACCTTCCATGTGGGATTGTCATTTCTGATATCAAAAAGTTGACAAGTCTGCTTTTATTGTCTTTTAATAGCATCTTGGTGCTCCATTTTCCCTGGTAAGAATAACAACATGAAATATGTTTGAGATAAAACAAACACCCCTTTAATCAATCAGAAATTAACCTTGATGAAGTGTGATCTGTTTTTAAGCTAAGAAAACTATACACAGCAAAAGGGATTGTATTGGTTACAAACCCCCGCAATAACGTTGCCCTGAGGCAACCAATATAAGATCGGTCTGATTGAACAATTTTATATTGGCCAGGCCCACCAATACATTTTTCCTTTGTTCTAATGTATCGGTGGGCCCAACCAATATAAAATCGGTCAATCAGACCGATCTCATGTCAGTCACCTCTGGGCAACCTTATTGCGGGGGTTGTAACCAATACAACCCCTTTCAAAGTGATACAAACTGTAACAATTGATGTGATCATATGACCTGGGTAATTTATTGTACAATTTTTACTGATTGATATCATGATGTGATCTGGGTAAGTTATTTTCAGGAATATTAAGATGAAGATAATGATGAAGAGTGGTTGGATGTTAACCTGAGTTGACTATGTAAAATTGAATGCAATCTGGGCAAGGCATATGTGAGACATAAGATGAAAGATAGCTAAATTCTGCAAAATAATTAAGCTCAAGTTGGGGTAATTTTGACTTCATTAGACTTCTAATTGAAAGAGAAGAAAATTGTAAACTGTATGGGTCAAATTGAAAGAAAAAAAAATGAATGAATTAACTAACAGAGCAAGATTTTTGGAATTTGGAGACATTGTCTATGAATGGAGTCAAAATTCCATCCAATAATCCCCAGCCAATCATCTGATCTCTAGTGATGTTCTCCAATTGGAATAACTTGGGATTTGTGATAGAATTCCCTCTCAAGATGGTAAGGAATTCATTGCAAATTGGTGGGGTGATTATCAAAAGTTCCATGTATTGTTTGACCAAGTCCGTCTTGCATGCGGCAACTGAGTATATGTCAGAGTTTGGTGACAAAGCCCGGCTAAATCAACTTGCTTTGTTGAGTTGTTTCCTTTTTTTTGAGGAAAGCTTTTCATAACTGAATTCTGGCGGGGGTGAGTGGAGAGTGACTCCTGCAACTGGTTCCAACTAAAACCCATATGATAAATCAGAAAACATGTACTGTAATAATGATCAAATTTCAAAACCAGTTGGCTTAAAATTTCTTGTGCCCACTTCTTGATAGCAGCTGCAGTCAATGATACAAATTTTCCAATATATGTTGAATGGATAAATATTAGAAGATTGTCATTGTATTTGATATTTGGCGGGTGGAGTTTGTAAAGCTGATTCATCAAAACATTGAGGGGGTTGAACTTGCTAGCAGGTTTGTTGCTGCTTTTGCCTGCTTGTTGGGATGAACCATCCTTTTGAACAGCCTCCTGGGTTGACACATATGGCTTTTAACATGTATGACAGTTTTGGATTGATTCACTGCGGACAAAGGATTTTTCCTTATAGTTAACTGTGGTGGTGTCTTGGTCACTTTCAATGACTCTGTCAATCCAGTGGGTGAAGGATGGCAAGTTGTTGGCCTTGTAATTTGACAACTTCTTAAATCTGTTTTCCCCATTTTAGCTTCATAGAAATCTTCCAATCAACACATGGAGACTGGGTTGCCATCAAATTACATATTAATCCCCCTGAGGAATCAAATTGCTTTTTACTTTTGGCCAGGAAATTGTGTTGAAACTGTTGGAAACTGGTCACTCTGGCAGTGAACAAGAGCTCAATTTGAAAGCTTCCATAGGAAGTTGCCAAAATTCATCCAGGCTAATCTTTAAAGACTGGAAATATTCTTAACTGATCTTATAGAGATTGAACCTTGAGGATGGGAACATTGTATCTGAGTAAGATGTTGCTAGAACCAAGGTGTCTTTTATTACTAGCTCATCATAAAGATTGAAGCAAGTGAAGTCTTTCAGTTAGTAAAAGATTTGAGCAAAAGAAAAGTAAAAGGAATAAAAGGAAAAAATGAAAGAGATGTGATAATTCCTACCTAGCTCAGCAGAAATATTGAAGCAAGTGAAGTCTCTGCTGAATTAGGAGGGGAAGTGGGGCAGCTACAGGCCCATTTAGCATTAGCATACAGTGTTTTAGCGGCAAAAAAACACCTAAAAACTGCTAACAACTGCTGTAACGCAGCGTAGCTGGTGCTTCTTTGCGCCCTGTGCGCATTCAGATGGGGGCGTTAGCACAGACAATGGTGGGCCAGCTACGCTAACCGTAGCGTTAGCGTAGCGTAGTGTAGCGAAAAACCGCTACAATTTAGCGTAGCGTTAGCGCTTTTCTCATTTTCTGCGCTAATGCTACGCGCATGGGGAAAAACTTGCGCTAGCGTTTAGCGTAGCGTTAGCGCAATTCCCCCCATTTGCGCTAACGCTACGCACGCAGGGCGCAAAAAACCGCCCGCTAAGCTGCGCTACAGCAGTTTTTAGCGGCTTTTAGGCGTTTTTTGCCGCTAAAAACACTGTAGCGTAGCGTAACGCAGCGTAGCGGCGCCAGAGGCGCGCTAACACTACACCAAAAATTGGCAAGTGTTAGCGCCGCTACGAATTAGCGTAGCGCAGCGGCCGTAGCGGCGCGCTAACACTACACAAAAAAAAAGAAAAAATGGCGCCGCTACGCTAACGCTACATGGGCCCGTAGCGTAGTGTAGCGTAGCGGCCCACCGCTGGCACAGATGGGGAGAATTGTGCTAACGCTACGCTAAATTTTGGCAAATGTTTGCGCCCTGTGGGCATAGCTTTAGCGCAGAAAAGTATAAAAGTGCTAACACTACACTCAATTGTAGTGTTTTTTTGCCACACATACGCTACAGTTGGTTGGCCCAATGCTGGTTTAAGAGGTTGGCGGATTCTTGATTATGTGATGATTTGTGAAACCTGTGAATTGGGGTTTCACATTATCCTTGTTAGGGAAAAACAGCTTAAAGGTGGTGCTACAATCAATGAATTGTTGCTGCAAGTGGGAAAGAAAAGTATAAAATCAGGAAATCTCTTTTGTTTTTGTTGTACGGGTGAGCAAACTCCACAATTGGAGTATGAAGAAAACAAGAGGAGGAGCCGGGGAAAAGCAATGAACACCAGTGATTCCAGCTACAACAGATTAAGAGTCAACTGCTCAACCGACCGACTAGCCGTCATATCCCGTTTTTTATGGTACATACTCGTCGATCGACAAAAGATATCCTTTTTGGACCGCTGCCTCCTCCGACTCAACGCCGCAAACCGGTTTCTATCCTCGACCGCCGAAGGAAACTAGACTTCCGTCGACTTTCAAAACTTCCTCCACTTCCACCATCGCCTCCCCCGACCCCGCCACATCACACCCCCACAGACAATCACCAAACTGAACAATTCGGCTTACTCATTGAGGGACTAAACAATTTCAGTATATCGGATATCAACCCGAATACATCCAACCTTACTGGGAACGAACTTTCCAATTCTGCACCCATCAACAATCAACCACCTTCTCCTTTCCTATCTCCACTATCTTATATTTTTTCTCAATATCTCACTCGACAACCCCCGACGACTCATCTTCCTATTCGACAAACATCCCCATTCGACCAACCTCATCCAATGTCAACATCGACGGCATCCGAGATCACCCCCAGAGCTAAATTTCTTCAACAACCAAGTGTCTACAAATCAGATGTGGAACCACTTGCTGCCGACGGTTCCAACTTTGACAAATGGAAACGAGGCCTCACTCGAATCATTCTTCTCACTCTTGGACACGCCAACTTCTTCGACAAATCGGAGAACTACTCCAAACTTTCAGACCAGGAGAATACCTGCCTTCTTTTCCTCATCCAAATCACAATCTACGACGAACTTGCATCCCTCGTCGATCAATACACCAAGGGCACCGAAGCCTACGATGCTATACAGACCTGTAGGGAGTGTGCAAACTCCACATTTGGAGCTTCAGGGGTAGAAGAGGAGGACACGGAGGAGCAATGACACAACCAAGGATTCTGACTACAACAGATTAAGAGTCCACCGCTCTACCAGACAGCCGGTTTCTTTTCTTCCCTCTGCATTTTATGGTTCATACTCGACGTTCGACAAAAGACAAGCTCTTCGGCCCATTGCCTCCTCCGACACGGACTCGTAAACCAGTATCTTTACTTGAACGACGGCGCAAACTTGAATTCCGAAAACTTTCGAAACTCCCACCACTTCCACTATCACCTCCACCGACTCCGCCCATCGACACCCTCATTGACAATCTCGGCAATCTTAACATCTCCGAACCAGGAAGCTCCGAACCCCCACCGGCTCAGATTCCACAGATCAGTCGAATCGACGATCAACTTCTCTCCCCATCCGCCCTTCCGACATCGTCCAATACCAATCAACCCGACAACCGACCCCCATCTCCATTTATTTCTCCCATCTCCTACATATTTTCCCAATTTCTTACTCGCCAACCAACCCCTGTGTACCAACCTATCCCCATGTCGACCACCGCTGCACCTGAAGTCACCCCAAAGACCAAGTTCCTGCAGCAACCAAGCATCTACAAACATGATGTTGAACAACTATTGGCGGATGGTTCAAACTTCGATAAATGGAAACGGGGACTCACCCGCGTTATACTTCTCACTCTGGGGCATGCAAATTTTTTCGACAAAGCCGAGAACTACGCGAAACTCACGGTCCAGGAAAACACCTGCCTCCTCTTTCTCATTCAAATCACGATCCACGACGAGTTGGCCTCTCTGGTTGATCAATACACCAAGGGCACAGAGGCTTACGACGCTGTCCAAACCAACTTCCAGGGAACGGTCAGATTTAGACAGATGGAACTTATTGATAAATTACTTGAACTCCGCATATCGGGCCCAACGACCGAGCCGTCGCAAGTACCGGGTTTATTTAATAAGGTATTCGAGATCTTTGCAGGCCTACATAAAGTGGGAGCTGGCCTACCCACGGTCGTTGAAAGCCTTATCATCCAAGCCATATCTCCGACCCCCGCGTCCATGTCCCGGTCTCAACTCTTCCAGAACATTTCCCTTCAACTTGGTTCCAAGAAAGACGTCTCCGCTCGTGATATCCAAACCATCATCACTTTGGCTTACGGCGAAAGCCTCCGATTTGACTCAAACCAACCTGCTTCGGTCTCAGTCTTCCGTACTTGGAACCAACCCGCTTCCTCGCCAAACAACACATGGACGAACCGCAATCCAGGCCAACAACGCAATGCAAATGCGACCTCTCAACCGTCATCCTACTCCCAGAACGCTCCTTGCCAATCCAACAATGGCAATCAGGCCAGACCTCGCCAACAAAACATTGGTCACCCTGGTCACCCGACCATCGACGACATTGCGGCCGCCATCAACAACATCCGAAAGGGTAACAGAGGACCGTCCGATCCCAACCTCCTTGCCAACAACCCGTGCTCTTACTGCAGCGCACATGGGCACTGGCGTTCCACTTGTCCCATCCTCCGACGGGATGCAAACCTACCTGCTCCCAACAACGCGAGTCGCCCCGCTTCCGGTTTTGCCCGCCGAGCTGCACCCCCGAACGACCCACCCACCAGCTCAGAACAGGTCCCGATTGTCCGGTCAGCGATGGGCGCGGATGCAACGGGTGCAGCTGGTGAAGGCACTGTTTTGGATTCTGGGGCAACCCACCACGTGAGCGGCTCTTTCCACTTATTTTCCAACCTCTCTCCCATCCTTCCTCCACTCAAACTGAATCTAGCCTCTTCCGATGGCTCTATGCTGGCAACCCACAGTGGACACCTCAAGATAACCAATGGGGATGGTACCCTAACGATACCGAGGGTGCTGTACAGCCCGGAAATGACGGGAACTCTACTTAGTCTTGGACAACTAGTAGACTCCGGCTTCAAACCTCACTTTCTTCCAAACCATGACATCTTATTAGTTTCTCCTTTTGTTTCTGTTACGGCTCAATATCATAATCGTTCCTGGCTCATATTCCCCACGTCTTTCCAATTCAACTCACCTGCCGCCAAATCGGTCACAACAACCCTCCCAACATCTTACGACTGGCACTGTCGCCTTGGACATGTATCTGACGACGTCGTTAAGGATTTTCTGAAACGTTTTGTACCAAGCTTCGACCTCAAATCCTGGACACCATTCATATGCGAATCATGCAAAAAATCAAAAAGTGAACGACGCCGACACTCCCTACCTGAGGTTATACCGAAGGATAACATGCTTGATTTACTCGTCACCGATGTGTTAGGTCCTTGGACCATGATGTCCACGGCAACCGTTTCCTCCTTACCGTCCGCGACCATGCGACCACCTATTCCTTTGTGTTCCCCATGAAATCTCGGTCAGAAGTTCCGACTATCCTCATCAATCTCGTCAAGAAAATCACATCCTGCTTCAAAAAATCCCCCAAGTTCATTCGCTGCGACAACGCAAAAGAATATACCGTTAAACCCCTACAAGACTATCTTTCCTCGGTTGGCTGTTAACTCATCTTCACCTCTCCATACACTCCGGAACAAAACGGAGAGGCAGAACGACTCAACCGAACTCTCGGCGCCATCGCTCGCACAACTCTCAACCATTCCCTTCTCCCATCAAAACTCTGGTCTTATGCATACCGATGTGCCTGCTTCCTAATCAACCGCTTATCCAACCGGCGCTGCAAATCGACCCCACTCGAGCTATGGTCTAACCGAACGCCCAAAGGTGATTCTTTCTACCCCTTTGGTGCGAGGGCCTGTGTCCATGTCCCCAAAGAACGCCGCCGCAAAATGAACGAACGAGGCTGGACGGGTTATCTCGTGGGCTACCAAGATGATGAGCGGGGCTGGTTCTTCTGGAATCCAGAGACCCAAAAGGTCATCAATTCTGAGTGTGCCGACTTTTTAGATTTCCAGGGAAAACCCCTCGTTCCTTCACCTGATTCTTTTGCTAACACAGCCATTGTCCGTAGAGTACTCCACCTCGGCCAGGAGAAAACCAAGGAATTATGCAAAGAACAAGACTCCATCATCGACAATCTTCAAGCCATCTCTGACGCCGACATCCCAACCAGTTTGAAACATGCGCTTTGATCCCGGGAATCCCATACCTGGAAGGCGGCTTGTCTGGCCGAATGGGATCAACTTGTACAAATCGACACATTTGACATTGAAGACAAACTCGACAAACACTCAATTGGAACCCGTTTTGTTTTCGACATTAAGCGGAAATCAGATGGATCAGTGGAAAAGTTCAAGGCACGCTTCGTAGTCCGCGGTTTCAAACAACGTCTGGGGATCGATGTTCGATCAACCTTTGCACCGACTGCTTCTCTCACAACCCTGCGAATGTTATTGACTCTCGCAATCAAAAACAAATGGGAAATCAATTCCTTTGACATCACTGGAGCCTTTGTCCATAGCCCCATAGAAGAAACCATCTACGTAGATCCCCCGACAGATCTCTTTCCCCACCTAAATGGAAAAGTACTTCGACTGAAAAAAGCCCTGTACGGGACTCGACAAGCCAGCCGATGCTGGTGGAAACACTTCAAGAACCTGTTACACGGCTGGGGTTTTGAATGTGACGAAGTTGAAGAATGCCTGTACAGATACCGGAAGAACAACGACATAATCATTGTATGGATACACGTCGACGATGGTATTGTGTTTAGTAACAGTAAGATGAACATGGAACGCCTCCGACTCAACATGGAACAGGAACTCCGTGTCAAATGGGACTCTCGGCCTGACAAATTAGTGGGCTTAAAAATTGAATACGAACAAGATTCCATCTTTCTCAGTCAACACCTTCTCATCGACCAAACCGTGGAAAAATTCACCTCTCAAATCCAAAAACACATTGTCCCGACGTATACTCCACTACAGGGTGACAACTTGGTTACATCTTGGGGCGACCCAGTAGAACCAACTCTCTACCAGTCCTTTATTGGATCAATCAACTACCTGGCTCTTGGTACGCGGCCAGACCTTAGCTTTGCTGTCAACTATCTAGCCCGGTTCAGCGCTAATCCAAACGAAACACACTGGGCGGCGCTGAAACATCTTATCCAATACATTGCCACCACACGCGACAAACGCCTCCATCTCCAAGAGTCCGACAATCAACTGACAACCTGGACAGATGCAAACTGGGGAGGTGAATTCCAACGTTCGACTTCGGGGTTCATCATCCATTTCCTAGGGAGTCCAATTGCTTGGGGTTCACGTCGACAAAAAGTAGTAGCAACGTCCACATGCGCGGCCGAATTTATCGCATTGGGCTCGTCCGTTGATTTTCTACTTTTCTTAATTCCCATTCTGAAATCATTAGACAGTCTTCCTCCCATGACACTGAAATGCGACAATCAAGCCGCAGTCTTGGTGTCGGACGACAATGCTTCAAAAGGAAGGATGAAGAGCTTAGAGCGCAACTTCTTCTTTGTGAATGATGCGGTGCGGGAACACGACATCAAACTGGAATGGGTATCAACCAACAACAACTTAGCTGACTTCTTCACAAAGACCCTACGCGCCAATCTCCATTCTATCTCAATGAACAAAATATTTCAATAAAAAAAAAAAAAAAAAAAACCTTCCATTTTTTTTCCACACTTCTTCTCATCTTATAATTTTTTTTCTCTTTCTTCTTCTTTTATCATTCTCCTGTCATTTTCATTTAGTTTATTATTTTTTCCAATTCATTCCAAAACTTTCTTAACAATTATCCGCCTTCTGCCATAATGGCAATATTTTTTATTCTTGTTATCATGTTTGCTTCTAACTCTCAGTTTTCATCATTGATCTTTGTTTCTCTTGACCTCATTTTCAGTTTTCTTGTAGTTGTGTGGAGTTTGAGGGGGGGTGTTGTAGGGAGTGTGCAAACTCCACATTTGGAGCTTCAGGGGTAGAAGAGGAGGACACGGAGGAGCAATGACACAACCAAGGATTCTGACTACAACAAGACCAATTTTCAAGGGACACTTCGTTTTCGTCAAAT